GGGAACGTCTTTTCTATCTGATTCAAGTCAATGAAGTCATCACAGGAACATTAGATGATAACGACAGGAACATTAGATGATGTAAAATATAATAAGTACAAATAGTGAAATCAAAATCTGCGTTTTAATCTAAGAACAGACCAAAAAGGTAATCATGAAGGCTTTGATTTGGCACGTATTCATACACAAGAAGGCTTTCAGGCCCTGTAATGCTGCATCCCAGTAGCTTCACTAAATTCTTGTGTTCGATGCCACTAATTAAATTAACCTCGTTGAAGAAATGATCAACCCATTGTGTCGTAGTGAAGAAAAGCCTCTTAATTGCAACAGTCTGCCCTCCTGGTAATATCCCCTGTTTTTCATCAGAAAATGCAGAAAAGAAAAAGCTTTATTAAACGTGCAATGTTAGGGATTAGGTCCTAATTTCAAAGAAAAGTCTGAAACACAAAGATTTATAATGGTTCACTCAACAAGCTATGCCCACTAGTCGCTGCACATTTTTAGTGTGAAGAAAACATCACGACGGTGATCTCAAGCCTCTCAATTTGTGTTTTACTGAAAAATTGCTCCCTAGAAAATCCTTTATATATGTAGGGAGATTACGTCGATCTGCAGTCAAGGAGATAAGTGTACGCTATGGTCTGGATCCACACAATTCAACATGTAAAGCATGCATTCCCCTGACACGAGAAAATGTGAAACTGAACTTACTTTGTATACAGAACCGGATCCTCCTTGCCCCAGTTTATTAGATTCGTGAAAGTAATTTGTTGCCCTCTCAAGAGTTTCGTATGAAAAGTTGAGTTTGGACTTATTAACTGTTTCCAATAGTGGGCCCAATTGCTTCTTCTCTACATCATCAGTTCAGTTGGCATTAATGCAGGATCATAATTACCTTAAAATAAGAGAAAAGATGACGTTTGTCTCCAGATTTAGATACCTCTTCTTTGTTTCAACATCTTCTTCCTGATGAAGAATGAAACAGTTGCTACGAACAGCAGAAATGCTACAGCACCACAAATTGAGGCCAGAATAGTTGTTCGTCGGTGAGAACTCCCTAATGAATTCATAACTCTACGATTGAGTAATTTATGAAAATTCCAATCAAATTATGCCAAAGATTAGACAAAGTCAAGAAACAGAAGCTAGTCCTTGAAGAACAATTATGAAATGTTTTGTTGAAGCAGCTAAAATCTCGTCTATCTTATTGTCCAGTTCATTCTAACGCTTAGTACCCTATATATGCCTCTAAATTAACATGACTGCGAAACAGGCTCATACAGGCACACGTCCTAATCAATATGCCTAACAAAACCCTATAGACTCCCCATGTTTTCTGTAAGCAATCAAGTTTCTATTCATACTCGTTCTACACCTTGAACTACTGATCACTGATTAGCATATAATTACCTATATGCTCATACTCTGCAAATATGCTAGAATCAACTCCATTTTGAGTTCGAATTTTATATGATACAGATTTCTGTCCTACTCTGTATTAAGGAATCAAGAAACTATGATTGCCAGATTAATAAAGAAAAAAATAGTGGATGATCATCAATTTTGGAAAAAAATATCAAGCAACTAACAACAAATGCAACGAGTCAACAAAAACCACAAATATTGATCAAAATAGAAAGATTTATAACATTACAAATTACATAAAAGAAAAAAGAACTCTTGGTGATTCACAGCGTCGAAAAGCTAAAGATGTTATGGAGCGACGTGTATTTATTTAAATTCAATTTTCAGCACACCCATTACAAACAGTCAAGATTCATCTTTCCTATTAAAAGTTCTACGTGTATTAACTTTTATAAATGAGTAACAATCGGACTTGATCTCACACCTTTGTATGCTCCAATACCC